CGCAGGTCCTCCATCTGATCTGGATACGGGCCGGATCCGGCTGTCTACATCATGCGTTGTGGTCGTGTCTAGGCGCAGGTCCACCATCTGATCTGGATATGGCCCGGATACGGCTGACTACATCATGTGTTGTGGTCATGTCTAGGCGCAGGTCCACCATCTGATCTGGATATGGCCCGGATACGGCTGACTACATCATGTGTTGTGGTCGTGTCTAGGCGCAGGTCCACCATCTGATCTGGATATGGCCCGGATACGGCTGACTACATCATGTGTTGTGGTCATGTCTAGGCGCAGGTCCACCATCTGATCTGGATATGGCCCGGATCCGGCTGACTAAATCATGAGTTGTGGTCATGTCTAGGCGCAGGTCCTCCATCTGATCTGGATACGGGCCGGATCCGGCTGTCTACATCATGAGTTGTGGTCGTGTCTAGGCGCAGGTCCACCATCTGATCTGGATATGGCCCGGATACGGCTGACTACATCATGTGTTGTGGTCATGTCTAGGCGCAGGTCCACCATCTGATCTGGATATGGCCCGGATACGGCTGACTACATCATGTGTTGTGGTCGTGTCTAGGCACAGGTCCACCACCTGATCTGGATACGGCCTGGATCCGGCTGACTAAATCATGAGTTGTGGTCATGTCTAGGCGCAGGTCCACCATCTGATCTGGATACGGCCCGGATCCGTCTGACTACATCATGCGTTGTGGTCATGTCTAGGCGCAGGTCCTCCATCTGATCTGGATACGGGCCGGATCCGGCTGACTACATCATGCGTTGTGGTCGTGTCTAGGTGCAGGTCCTCCATCTGATCTGGATACCGGCCGGATCCGGCTATCTACATCATGCGTTGTGGTCGTGTCTAGGCGCAGGTCCTCCATCTGATCTGGATACGGGCCGGATCCGGCTATCTACATTAGGGCGGTCAAAATTGCTCAAAAATGACGTTCGAATATTCCCTCTAAAAAAAACACATATATTCGAACTATTCGAATATCTGGTTGCGCATTTTGTCAATGACGCGCATTACGTCAATAACAGGGCAAATTAATACAAAGAGACACAACTACTTGTATAGGTAGTTTATTTAAGTTTAAACATATTTGACAACGTATTAACTTACACAAAAACAATTAAATCAACTAATGGCCAAGACCGCAGACCTTACTCTCGCTCGCACTTGCAGGCACTCTCTCTCTCTCTCTCTCTCTCTCTCTCTCTCTCTCTCTCTCTCTCTCTCTCTCTCTCTCTCTCTCTCTCTCTCTCTCTCTCGCCCCCTCACCTCACGCTCTCTGCGCATAACGGTTTAAATGAACAACAATAAACAAATGTTGAGTGCTGATCAAGAGTTTTGTGCAAGCAATTTAAGGTCGCGACTCTTGTCCTAAATATAGCAGGCTTAATTCAGTTTTACAGTATATATAACCGATATTGAACGCTCCGAGCGAGCTGTGCTGTGGTTAGTCTCGCGTAGCCAGACCTTGAGACTGTTTAGCCAACGTTCCGTGGGCGTGACGTCTGAGGCTGAGACTATGCTGTGGTAAACTGCTACATGGCTATTTCGAGGGCGTCTGGCCATGCCCCCTTGGCGGGCTCTGACATGTCTGATGTAATGCTAGCTCATTGGCGCACACGTTGGAGGCGCCCGTGCCATTGGATGTGCAGTTGCCGCAGCACAGCCAATGAGTGAGCCAGACACTCACTGTGCTAGCTGTGCAGCTGGAAAATGCGTTTTACATTTTAAGCTTCAGAATTTTGCCTCTCGCAAAGCAGACAGCCGCGCCTCTGCTACCCCGGGCGTTTTTTCCACATGATTCGAATATTAATTTTCACCTTCGAATTTCTGTTTTTTAAAACTATTCGAATATATATTCGAATTTAGAATATTCGTTGACAGCCCTAATCTACATCATGCGTTGTGGTCGTGTCTAGGCGCAGGTCCTCCATCTGATCTGGATACGGGCCGGATCCGGCTGACTACATCATGCGTTGTGGTCGTGTCTAGGCGCAGGTCCTCCATCTGATCTGGATACAGCCCGGATCCGGCTGACTACATCATGCGTTGTGGTCGTGTCTAGGCGCAGGTCCTCCATCTGATCTGGATACGGGCCGGATCCGGCTGACTACATCATGCGTTGTGGTCGTGTCTAGGCGCAGGTCCTCCATCTGATCTGGATACGGCCCGGATCCGGCTGACTACATCATGCGTTGTGGTCGTGTCTAGGCGCAGGTCCTCCATCTGATCTGGATACGGGCCGGATCCGGCTGACTACATCATGCGTTGTGGTCGTGTCTAGGCGCAGGTCCTCCATCTGATCTGGATACGGCCCGGATCCGGCTGACTACATCATGCGTTGTGGTCGTGTCTAGGTGCAGGTCCTCCATCTGATCTGGATACCGGCCGGATCCGGCTATCTACATCATGCGTTGTGGTCATGTCTAGGCGCAGGTCCTCCATCTGATCTGGATACGGGCCGGATCCGGCTGACTACATCATGCGTTGTGGTCGTGTCTAGGCGCAGGTCCACCATCTGATCTGGATACGGCCCGGATCCGGCTGACTACATCATGCGTTGTGGTCGTGTCTAGGCGCAGGTCCTCCATCTGATCTGGATACGGCCCGGATCCGGCTGACTACATCATGCGTTGTGGTCGTGTCTAGGTGCAGGTCCTCCATCTGATCTGGATACGGGCCGGATCCGGCTGACTACATCATGCGTTGTGGTCGTGTCTAGGCGCAGGTCCTCCATCTGATCTGGATACGGGCCGGATCCGGCTATCTACATTAGGGCTGTCAAAATTGCTCAAAAATGACGTTCGAATATTCCCTCTAAAAAAAAACACATATATTCGAACTATTCGAATATCTGGTTGCGCATTTTGTCAATGACGCGCATTACGTCAATAACAGGACAAATTAATACAAAGAGACACAACTACTTGTATAGGTAGTTTATTTAAGTTTAAACATATTTGACAATCGGGCCGGATCCAGCTGACTACATCATGCGTTGTGGTCGTGTCTAAGCACAGGTCCACATCTGATCTGGATACGGCCTGGATCCGGCTGACTACATCATGCGTTGTTGTCGTGTCTAAGCACAGGTCCACATCTGATCTGGTTACGGCCCGGATCCGGCTGACTACAGTAAACCTCGGGATAAACACAGAGACTAATATTAGCGTAGATGCCATTCTTCTTATGATGTAGCGAGTACATCATGTGTTATAGAAAGTGTTCTCGTTTCCGGCTGACCTAATTTATGCAGCCTAAAAATCCTTTAATGGATCTTTATTACAGTTATGTGTATGCCACTCTGTCAGTTTAGATTTAAACTGACAGAGTGTGTCTGCTTTCCAAACAATGCTAGGGCGACTATTCCAAGGTTTAGGTTCTAAATAGGAAAAGGATCTACCGCCTGCAATTAATATATTAAAATAATAATATAAAAAATAAATTTAAGACGTGCAAAATTACAATATTAGTGTTACATCACGCAGTTAGATTATCTGTTGATGGTCGTGAGTTTATCATTGAGTATCTACAATGGTGCAAACGCCTGTAACCCTGGTAGGTGGAAATTTCTATTCTAACCCTTTAACCCGATTTCACTTTTCTGTTTGCGATAATATAATTTTAAACCACTAAACTCTGGGAAAGTTTTCAGTCCAATTTTCCAAGCGAATGCTTTCAAACAAAGTCCAAAAGAAGAAAACCGATGTAAAGAAAACCAGGCTTATTACATCAGATATGGCAGAGAGAACAGGGACTCGCTGCCAGTTTTTTCAGTGAATTTTTTGTTCCAGTGTGTGTTTAGCTTTAAAACACGAGGTCTGTCATATTCTGTGATTTGTTTCTGAAGAGCGTGAGTCTTCACGCATCACACGGTGTGAAATACAGACTGAACAGAACATCAACACATCCAACTGTATAGCCAGTTGATACGCGAACTAGGGCAATCGGCTGGATAAAGCAAACTAGCGTCTCGCTAGCAAAGTTTTGATGGATGCGAATTGTAAACACGATTGCAGTGATGCACAGGAGTCCTACAGTATTTATAATTGATGCGCAAACAAACAGTGTACGTGCACATACCCATTTCAGTAAATTCGTGTTGTTTCCACTCAAATTCAGAGTAATGTTTTTATCTGTTTATATTTTAGGTTTTATTTTTATTTTTTGGCATCTTAATGTCGTAAAGATGATTGCTGTGACGAACGAGTCACATTTTAACGAACAAGAGTGTATTTTAATTTGCGTTAAATGCATTCGGCAGAACATTTTAAGCTGAATGTATTTCAAATTTTTAAAGAAAATATAAGTAATTATTAAATTGCATATAAAGATTGTGGTTTAGTCCTACTTTAGAAAGTTATGTTTTTCAGAAATGTACATAATATACAAATCACAGTTAGCTAACAATGTAATAATTTAAGGCAGAAACAACGAGCTCATTCAAGTAATGAATACTTGTTTGTTAACAAATGGTTATGAAATTTAGAAAAAAATGTAGACAATTTTGATCATGTTGTTCATTTATAGGCATGAAATTAAAAGTCTGAAAATTTAATCATCGCACTTAAGATCAATTCATTTATTTGTATAGTGCTTTTTACAATACACATCGTTTCAAAGCAGCTTCACAGAAAATGCACGAATCCATATTACAATTTACAGTGATCTGTTATTAGAGGAAACTGTGTAAGTTATGTATTTCAGAAATGTACATTTACAAAACAGTTTGCTAAAAATGTATTAATTTAAACAATGTAATAATTTAAGGCAGAAACAATGAGCTCATTGAAGTAATGAATTCATGTTTGTTAACAAGTATATTCTTTTAAAGTAAATTATTATTTTAGAGTGATTTATTTGTTTGTTTTAGAAGTATGCTGAAGTGTACTACTTTTTCTCAAGGATAGTGGTGTTACTACCACCATAAGTTCTGTCTAAGTGTTCTCTCTTCGCTGGTTTGTCTTCATCTGAGCAGGGACCAGTATCCTTCACGAGGCCGCAGACAGTGTCACCAGTGCAGTGCAGAAGGCCAGTCAGGCCCTGAACGAGCGCGGCGAGAGACTGGGACGCGTCGAGGAGAAGACCAGCGACATGAGGAACAGCGCACAGCATTTCGCTGACACTGCACACAAGGTAAAACGTGCCACGTGTTTGTGTTTACTCGTAGACCTTTTGCCCAGTTCAAGAAGGTTTTCCTAAACTTAATCAGGTGGAAAACAATGTGTGTTGCTTTGCTGCCTTCATGTGGCGACTGCTGTCATACACAGACACACACACTACTGTTCAAACCGTTGGGGTCGGGAAGACGTGTTCATGTTTTTGAATTAAGTTTGAACCGAGCAGAAAATACAGCAAAAACAGTAATATTGTGAAATATTATTACAATTTACAATAATTGCTTTCTATTGGAATATATAGTGAAGTGTAATTTATTCCTGTGATCAAAGCTGAATTTTCAACATCATTACTCCAGTCTTCAGTGTCACATGATCCTTCAGAAATCACTCTAATATGAGGATTTGATGCTCAAAAAAACCCCTCTGATTATTAATGTTGAAAACAGCTTTTCTGGACTCTTTGATGAATAGAATAGAACAGCATTTATTTGAAATTGAAACCTTTAGTAACATTATAAATGTCTTTCCTGTCACTTTTGATCAATTTAATGCATATTTGCTGGATCAAAATAATAATTCTCATTTAAAAAAACAACAACTTTTGAACAGTGGTGTATGGAAATGCATTTTACTCTTAGTGTATTATCAAATTAACCAACATATTTATTAAAACATGCAAGGGGCAGGAGATTGTGGACCATTATGAATGAGCTCACTGACATCTTTAGACATTTTGTACTGTAATTCTACAGTAAATTTACTCTCTCTCTGCCTGTGTCTCTCTCTCCCTCTCTCTCTTTCTCTCTCTCTCTCTCTCTCTCTCTCTCTATAGCTTGCCATGAAGCACAAGTGTTAATCCTTTGCCGTATTTTTGGAGAATCTGGTACAAATTCCTCACCCCTGCTATCAGAGACTGTTGTGGGATGCGCATGAAGTATCATATGAAGAAACGAGGATGATGTGTGTCTATCAACATCATGGCTGTAGCCTTAAACATCATGCATCCTCTAACCATAGATGGGGTTTTCAGTCACTGCAAGCTTAATCAAAGCCTTATTCCTGTGTTCCCGCTGTATGACAGATCATTTTTATCATTTTAAAAGATTCCTACAGAAAGGTTCAAATTCCTGCTGATATATAATATCCCTCTGATATTGTCTGATAAGTGCCATCATGAAAGAATTTTAGTGTGTGAAAGTATTAGAAATATATATTTTTGTAAAATTCCTTCTAAGGATTCTGTAAAATAATTCATAGTTTTTTTTCTTCAAATGTCACATGCCAAAAAAAACGCTTTATTTTAATATTAATGGTGTAGTTGAACCCACGTTTTAATAATGTGGTGCATCTGAAGTGTTGAAATATCTACAGGACAGCCCTGAGAAAAGACCATGAGCCGTGGATGTTAACTTCACAAACTGACCGAATGAGAGATGATCAGTTTAGCAGTGGGACAGTGAAAGAAATGCTTATACTCGTCTGCAAACTTAGTTTAATTTTATACTATTCCACAAATGTCTGTGACTTCTGAGGTTCTTAACTCTGTTCAGTTTCCCCTCATAACTCACAATACAGATCTGGGATCAGCGAGAGCGACTACATAAACACATGCCCTCAGGCTACAAATATGTATAACATAAACTCAGTGTTTTATCTACTAGGGAATACTGAGCTCTCCGAGGAACATGGCTTTAGCTTTTACTTTCTGCCTTGAATTGTTTTGCATTTTATGTTGCCTTTTGGCTTTTTACAAGAATAATTGGTGTAACATTAATGTTTACACATAACTAACATAATGTATTGAAGTATTAAAATGTAACACACCCTGAATTACCTGCGTGAAGCATTTTAAACAGGTTTTCTCTTGAGGAACCTCTGACAAAAAGCACATGACTGTTATTTTCCCATTTGAATGTTTGCTAATGGATTACAAAAAGTGACCAAAGTCTGTAGTGCTAAGTTTTATGTGTTGCATTTAATATTTGTGATTAAAAATACAATTATTTCTGTGCTACAAACCCTGCCTTAATATTGCATACAGTTTTCAGAACAGTGTTTTACTTCTGTCATGTATAGCTTCTTTCATGTTGAGTGCCGTCATCAGTCATATGGTTTGTTTTCTGGATGCTGAGAACATCTCTGATGTGCTGATGTCTGTTTCTCGCTGTCTGTCTTCAAGGCCGGGAGACACCGCCAGAGAATGTCGTCATCGTTAGAGACAAACATGTGAATTATGAAACTGTCGTGTGCATCCCAGGCCTAAACGTTCATGTTTTCCATGTAACTTGCTTTCATGATGTTTGCAGTGATCTAACCACATTTTTGAGTGCGTAGAGTAGCGATATGCTTGTAAGTCAAATCGTTTTTGTTTAAAGGGAACATTAAGATATTTTTGAACCATTTTTAAATGTGCCTGTGCTACTGTGTGGTCAATGGAATAATGACTGGTAATAAATGACGATGATACATCTCTTTGCTCTCAAAAGTACTTTTGAAACCCTCGTTCTGGTGCAAGAAGGCATAATCAGAATTATGTGATATCAAAATCAATAACTGGTTTCAGTTTGGCTGCCAAATGTCAAGCATTCATGCACATATTAGCTTTCAGTGCTATAATACGTGGTATTTTATTTCTTTCATTTATTATCCCTCAAAGGACAGATAAAATCAACAACTAGCAAATTTACATTTGTAGTATGTAAAATAAGCATATACTTGTCTTGTGGGTAGTTGTACGGAGTGTACGTGGTGATGAGAAAAAAATTAAATGGGGGTGGTATTATATTCCAATGCTTTAGCATTCGCGTGCAAAACTGCTGAGTTTCCCAGATAAACTATGCATTCACTCGTCAAACTTTTGTAATGGAAATAATGAAAAGATATGGGAGGAAAAACTATATTCCAGTGCTTTTTGAGTGAAAGCAAAGTTTCTTCGCTTCTTCATATGGGGAATGGCATCAGCGTGACTGGTGTCTGAGGCACGTGTAAACCAAAGGATTGGCAGATGGCCATAAAATATAAAGGTAACATTTTACAATAAGGTTCCATTAGTTAATGCATTAGTTAACATGAACTAACCATGAACAACATCTCTGTTCAGCATTAGTTAATATTTGTTAACGTTAACTCGCACATGTACTAATGCATCAATTCACATTAACAGCACAATTAGTTAACATTAGTTAATGCATTAGTTAACTAACATGAACTAACCATGAACAATGCCTGTAAATAGCTTTACTGTTTTGTAAGGTTAACTTACTGTACATATTTACATTAGTTTACGTAGCAGTTAACACACTAAGTATGAACATTTCTAACTCACCATGTTACCCTAAATGTAAAAATACTGTTGTGTAGTGCTACCTTATCAACACTCTTTCATATATATATATATATATATGTCATTGATTTGTTGGTAAACATAATTCTACAGCGGAAAAATATGTTGTTCATGTTTATACGCACTTTACTATCATTACTTGTATTTATTAATGGATTGAGTGAAAAGTGTACACTATTTCAACATTAACTGATGTGTTACTAACATTTGTTTTCCACTGTAGAATTATGTTTACCAACAAATCAATGCCTTATATATATGAAAGAGTGTTGATAAGGTACACAACAGTATTTTTACATTTAGGGTAACATGGTGAGTTAGAAATGTTCATACTTAGTGTGTGTCAACTGCTACGTAAACTAATGTAAATATGTACAGTAAGTAACCCAACAGTAAAGCTATTTACAGGCATTGTTCATGGTTAGTTCATGTTAACTAATGGAACCTTATTGTAAAGTGTTACCAATATGGAGATAAAAAAATAACGTTATTTTTTTTTTTTGCAAAGTATCATATATACAGATCACTCTAATGATACACTAGGCTTTTATGGCTTATTTAGTGAAAGCATAGTGAAAACATGGAAGAAAAACACCTCCATTTTATACAGAGGGCCCAAACTGAGCAAAATTATGCATATTTATATTATATCTATATGACATTTATATGGACAAAAAGAAATTCTGATGCCTTTAATGTAAATCAATGAGATCTTTATAACAGTATAGCAGAAACTTGCATATAAAAATCAGTCGTCACTCAATATCTGCCAATAATATAGTCTTAGTAAGATGATATTTCAATGCTTAGTTTATGATCAAAGCTTGCAGCTTTAAAACATATAATGTAATGCAATACAATGATGATTGAGAGATGAACAAATAAACCTTCCTCAAAATCCTGATGATCATATTTGATACTCATGATTTTTCTATAAAATGATGAATGACAATCAAGTAAACCTAACCGAAGCTGCTTCTGTCCAGCAAGTGTTCATCTTGAAATATTAAACCAAGTTCTGGCATGAGACTCTAGATGGCGCCAGGCTGATAGGTTTTTTTTATTATTTTTTATTTTTTTTATTATTATTATTATTATTATTTTTTTTTTATTAGACATTAGACATAACATACAAACAATAACATGACATCCAAAAAGACAACAATCCAAGATTTTCCAAAATTAGTTTAACATAAATAAGTAAGAGACTAAACTAAAGTATAAAGAAAAAAGAAAGAAAAATAAAATTTAAATAAAGGGGCTAAGTTTAACTATGTGTATAATATAATAGCTACGAGAAAATTACAAACCAGTAATCAGTATTGAAGAAAATGAGAAACATCATATAATTCTTCACTGTTCAATTATCTTCAATTCTTTGGCAAATACAATTGTATCAGTGCATTTCTTATTATCTATACATTTAAGAGACTCAATATACAACATAAAATCAGCCAAAAAAACCTTCAAACAAGGCTTAGAATTATTAAATTTACACTTATGAATGTGAAATTTACCTAATAAAATCATAAGATTAATCATAAAATTTACAGATGTAGTTTTTGACTCAAAATATATGATAACATCTTTGGGTGTTAATACACAATTATGACCTGATTTCCGTTGAAAATATATAGTTAAATTTTCCCCAAAATTTTTTGAATGATGACATTCAAAAAAAAGATGTAGAGTTTTTTCTGGCTGATTCAGACAAAATTAACAATTCTCATCAATCTCCATAAATTTTGATAAAGTGTAATTACTAACATAAATGTTATGAAGTATTTTTAAGTGTATTTCTCTATATTTGTTAGGTATGCAAAACCGAAATGGAAGCAACCAAGCTTTTTTCCAGATAATCTCTGGGAAGCAAATATTCCAGAAAAATTTCCCTCTAGGCTGAAAAGACCTATTTTTATAAAATATATTTCTAATAAATTTATTGGAGCACTTTTTACTATTAAGGTCTACACCATTTAAATAAAGTACAGGATCACTTCTACATATGTTAAGGGATAACATGGCTTCTCATTAACATCATTAGACCTGTGGGAATGGCTTTTATCACAGAATAATATTCTCTATATTTAATAGGAAATGCCCACTTATTCATAAAACTTTCATATGAAAGAAACTGAGCTGACTGATCTAAAAGGTCAGACAAAAGGTAAATTCCTTTGTCTTTCCAACTCTGTAAATAAAGAGATTTCCGATTTACTGTAATATAAGCATTATTCCACAAGATTGCTTTATGTGGGGAAAAGTTATGTACATAACATAACTTCCAGGCCTTGAGAGCTTGTTGGTAGAAATTGGATAATGTCACAGGCAATTTACTGATGGAGTAATCACATAATAACAAAAAGTTTAAACCTCCAATCTTTTTAAAAATATTATATGGAATAAAGAACCATATCGAGTCTGATTTAAGAAGACAGTTTCTGAGCCATGTGACTTTAAAGGTATAATTTAAATCGAAAAAATCCAGAAGTTCAAAACCACCTTCATTTCTTGGACCATGAAGAATCTCCTTTCTCAAATGATGATGTTTATTCTTCCAAACAAATTTAGTAAATAAGTCATTTATTTTCTTACAAATCGAGTCTTGAACAGAAAGAGATAAAGCCGGATAAACAAATCTA